ATGCTGCTCCCAGTACCAGATGCAGAGACTGAGGCCCAGATATCAGAAAGTTGAATGTTCTGACGTTACATGAGGACCTGGAGGTCTGCTCACAGTAGCTTCCCCGAAAGGTCTCTGGGTGAACCTTCAAAAAGACCTCATTGGTAAGACGGGTGGTGGTGACAAACACCTTTAATCCCAGCACTCAGGAGACAGGTGCTGTATCTCTGAGTTTGAGGCCTGCCTGGTCTACAGAGTAAGTTCCAGGCCAGTCTGGTCTACAGGGCAAGTTCCAGGACAGCCTGGGATACATAAGGTAACTTGAAGCAAATGAGAAGGGTAGGGCGAGGCTCTAAATTCTAGACAGAAGTGAGATTTGAAATCACGGACAGAGGCCAAGGATAGCCCAAATTGAGTGATGAGCCATTTGTCACACTGTAGCTCTCCCTTTGGCTCTTGGGCCATCGGGGGCCAACAACCCCACACATCGCATTTGAATCCAGCACCCACAGCTGCCCGATGCCTTTGGCATTTGCCAAGCCACTAGCTAAATAGTAAGCAGGTGTCAGCAGGCTGGCAGCCAGTTCCCGTGGATTTACACGGGCTGCCGGAGCAGCTCTGCATCAGGAAAGCCTCATGCAGGCAGTTTTGGTGACCTGAGTCCCAAACTCTCCAAATCAACCCTGGGAAGCTGCATGTGTCCACTGCCTATCCCCAGTTTTCTACTTTAGAACCTTGCCTAAATCTAGATGACCCAGTTAATGCCCCCCAAGAGCGTGGCAGGCCAGTTTTGCAAATCTGGTTGCAACACTCCTTCATCTACTTGCTTTTCAGTGTTATTTTTACAGCTATCCCCATTGGTGAAAGGGAGTCATGCTCCAGCTGGGGCAGGGGCTTGTCATGAAGCTGGGTGTGAGGATGTGAGGTGGTCAGCAAACTCCCATCCGCTCCTCTTAGATCCACTGAGAATCCAGGTGCTGCGCTGAGAGGAAGAACCAACAAAGCCACATGGGGAGACGACCTGAGCATCTCCAACCATCCAATGAAAGGGCAGGCTGTGGGCAGGCACAAGGGTCGGGAGCCAGCAGGTGGATTCCAGCACCTCATTGTCCATCCTGCAGGTCTTTCTGGCTGACACACACACACCACCCTATCTGTTCTTAATCCACTAAGGCACGATTATCATGGTGTACCAGTCAGGCTGTTGTATACTAAGTGAGGGGTGAGCGGGAAGCGGGCTCACAACAAAGGGCTACAAACTTTGGATTCATTTCAGTCTTCCATTCTCTGCTTAGATGATTCTAGGAGGTACTTGGAAGCGACTAAGAGGCCCTGGAGGATTCAAAGCTCACCACCTAGAGCAGCTATCTGAATCCCACTCGCCTCGTTGAATTCTTCCTTCCCTGCCTTACACTCCAAGCTCCTCCCCTTGCTGTTCCTTGGTTCACCCTCCAAATACCCAGTATACACACAGGTCCTCGTTTGTGGCCCTGATCCTGGTTACGTTAAGAGGCAAAGGAGGTTGCTACCACCTCCATTTTGCAGCTACAGAAAGTGATGAGTAGGTAACCAGCACCATGTGTCACCAGCCACACAGACAGGAGGGGCAGGGATGGAATGAGGAGACAGCCCCTGGCTTCACTCAGCTGAGGACGAAAGGATGAGGGCAGGGCAGACAGGGAGAATACAGCCAGCATGGTGATGCAGAAAATGTCTGAGTTCTTGTATAGTGCCTGACTATGTGGGCAATATCTAAGGAAAAGCCAGTAATAGACTTATGGACCAATAAACACTGTGCCCAGAAGCCCATGGCTGCTCCTCATCTGCATGCCAGGAAGATTCCCACTCCCCCATCATCTGACTTAGTAACCACCCTATTTACTGTCAGTAAATTTAGAATTGATGGTTTAAAACGGCATCCAAAGCTTCAGTCATGAAGATGTTCTTTCAACACGTCTCTGGAAAATCTGTTTATAATGTACCCAACGATGGACATATCTTTCTTTCTATGTACTCTAACCTGTCATAAATCATTCCTGTCCACCAATGAGGACACAGAGACACAGGGAGAGCAAGGAATTCGCCCCAGGTCATGCAGCTTGTACATAGGAGAGTAGGTGGGAGTTGTTAATGGTTGTTAATGGTAAAGTGTTAGAAACGTTAAACGGAATGTGGTGAGACGGTAAATATACCATTGGTTGCAGCACATACTGTAGTCTGTATCACTTCGATGGTTAGGCTGGAACGAAAGTCACAGAAACACAGAACACCGAACGGGGAAGAGGTAGGGGACTCAGCACCAGTCCCTACATGGTGTCATGTGGGTTCAGGGTAAGACAGGTGACACATCAAAAGAGGAGTTTCTTGGTTAGTAGGATGTCATAATAGGCAAAGGCACCTGCTGCCAAGCCCTGTCAATCCCAGGACCACACAGGAGAGAAGCAGCTTCCAAAAGGTGTCCTCTCATCAACATGTGCATGCCGTGGTACACCAGTGCACCCCACCCAGACATAAAATAAATGAAAAAAATGTAATTTAAAAATGTTTAATAAGTGAGAAGCTCCCCAGATCTGTCAGTTTGGAGTCCAAACAAATTCAATATGTCCATTCTATAGGGGAAAAACCACGGCCTAGAGCAGACAGAACTTGTCCACCGAAGGGTAGGGAATCGAGCCAGGATGCTTCCCTCTGCATTATGGATGCATAGAGAAATGGAGACCCACACTGGGAAGGGACAGAAGGAAAATGGTTTAAATGTGAAGCTCTGAAGCAGGGACCAGGAGCTGGCCTTCTAACTAGAGCTCCTAGGGAGTTAGGGGTTCCCCTAGAAAGGGATAGAGGCCCTTTCTGAAGGTAAGCTTTAAACATGCTACCAGGAAATGCAGTTCCCCCTAGTGGGGAAGCTGTCATTCCACTAAGACTTTGGCAAAGTGCCTCTTGTTTTCTGGCCTTCCTTAAGGGTGCTCCCTACATGACAGAATTCGAAGGAGGATCGGTGGCCTGAGTTGTGTTCTTGCTGCAGGTCTCCCTTGCCATCGCTCTCTTCCGGCTGCCCTTGGCACCAGGTTAGTCCAGGGAGAGGCCCGGAGTGGGAGTGGGGGCTGCGGGCTGCAAGGCTCCAAGGATGGCTGCAGAGGATGCACTGAAGCAGCTGGACCACACGCAGGCTTCTTACTTTCCAGCCCTGCCTGCCCATTCCATCCAGTCTATGAACAGTCAGAGCATTTGTGTCTTTGTTCCCGACATTTTCTCTAAAATCACTGGATAGCCAATAGGCAAACTTGCCTCGGGGGTATCCTTGGAGGCTCAGACCAGGAGAGAACTGGCAGTCAGATCTGCATCTTTCCCTCTGGATCTGCAGCATCTAGACTAGCATCCTACAAACACCCAGCCCGTTTCTCAAACCAATCTCCCTCCTGGCCCCACTGGCCTCTACTACCTCCCAGAGGTGGCAGGTGGATGGGACAGGTGTGACTCTTGCCCCTCTTCACCTCTAAGTTAGTTCAAGCTTAGTTGATCTCCTTTTAGGACCAGGCCACCATTCTAACCGTGCTCAGACCATCCTGGCTAGATATCACAGTCAAGCCATGGTGCCTTCATTTATCCAGAAATCATCACCCTTTCTATTTCCCACCCGGAGCCTCATATATAGGTGGATTCTTCAGGCATCTTTCCTGTAGTTAAGACCAAGTTCCCCACACCCAGCTTGACCTTCAACATACACAGGCCCCTCTGATCTCAAGAACACCTGAGGCCTTCCTAGGAACCTCATCTTCTCCAGACAACATGCACTGTGAAGTGACGCCAGCCTACATACTAGAGCCACCTCAGTAACGGTAAAAATAAGGACAATGCCCTACTTGATTCCAATGGCAAGAAACTCCCACAGGAGTCCTCGTATTTATCTTCCAATTTAGAGATGAGGAACCTGAGGCTGGGAGAGGTCTCCATGAACTAAGGGAATGAAATGCATTGGCCCAGATCTGGTGGGCCACTGTGCCCAGAAGAACTACTCTGACCTCTGACCACCTCAAATATTCTCAAGGCCTCTCTCTTGCTTCCTATCCCTTATTTTTTGCCAACTGGAAGTAAAACATTGGGCAATGGACAAAGGAAAACACTACTGGCGGGGCTCCGGGCCACCATCCAGGAGCAGCCTGAAGGTGGTCTGAGTCCTGCGCCTCTCTGGGTCTCAGCTAGTAACTGCTCCTGATTTTGGATACGCTTGGGTCCTTGGAGGATAGACACTTAAGGAACCTTTGCTGCGATGCTCCATCACCACCCTCTACCTCTCACACATCCCAAACAGGGTTGGTAGCTGGAGGGAAGCAGGCCCTGTAGCTGGGCAAAGGTTTGTGCTCAAAGGCTGGCATGCCCGGTGCTGTCCTGGGGCGCAGCTTCCTGGTGGAATTAGAGCACCTGCTGACTTCCAACTCCGAAGGGTGCTGAGGAGATTGCAGGGGGTAGGGATGGAGGTGCGGGGAGGCTGGAGCAATTCAAGTCCTGGGCGTTTTCCCTAGGGGACTCTTCCTTCTGCCTCCTGTGAAGCTTTTCTGTCTGTCTTCTAATCTCGTCCCAAGAGTAACTACAGATCTTGGGAAACTTCGCGGGAAACTTCCAACTGCTGTGAACTCCGATGAAGCCAGCTATTCCATCGGAGCCTGGAGCGCCACACCGAGCCAGGCTGGGCTCCTGCAGTGTCTGGAGGTAGTGGTGCCTAGAGGCTGACAGGCGACCTGAGCCCACAGTGACCCACACAAGCTTTGCTTGCTACATCCGCCGGGATTCCCTATGGGACCGCGGCTGCCACCCGATGTGCACTGCTAACCTGGGACCATGATATCCTCCTGTACTTGGAGGAGTATTAAAGCAGTTTCCCGCAGACATTGTCCTCCCTCTCCCGCGGGAGCCCGGGACATCTCCCAGGAGCGGAGTGGCCCGCCTTGCCCATCACTCATTTGCATTTCAAAGGCAAACTTCTGCCAGACTTGCCCGGAGACTAGGACAGCGGTGGTACCTACCAGCTTTGCAGGGGTCGTGGTAATGCAGCTGCTGCTCCGTGCCCTCCTCGCCTTCAAAGGCTCCGTAGTCCAAGGCGACATTCGAGTGGTCCCCAGTCACTTCAGCACCGCGGGGCAGCGGTAGCAGCAACAGTAGCACCAGGGTGCCAAGAGCGGCCGCCTGGGGCATAGTGGCAAGGGGTCAGTGGGACCCGAGGGACTTAACGTGCACAGGAAGCTCAGATCCAGCGAGACACCATGTACAGGGTTGGTTGTGGTGGCTGCTGCTTGGCTTCTAGGCACCTGTAGGGTACCGAGCGAGCCCAGTAAGGCGTTTCCGTCTGGCCTGGACACCCGGGAAGCCGCTGCTCAACACGACTTGCCCAGAGGCCAAGGCTGCGGTGGCTGCGATTGTGTTGGCGGCGGCAGCGGTAGGAACAGTGGCCGCTCCGCCCCTCTCCACCAGGGCTGGACCACACGCCCTTTCCAAGGGCCCCGGACAGCCAATCACTTATGCGCCCTAGGCGAGGCCCCTCCTCTTGCCTGCACCTCGGTAACTTCGGAGGAACCCAAGCAAAGCTAAGATGCTGACAAGTGCTGGGCCCCCCGGGGCGCGCGCCTACCTGGCCGACTAGAATCTTGTTTTGACACTGTCAGGCGGGCAACACTGCTCCTCAACACTGAGGCTAAGCTTCGCGCCCTACTTCATTCTTGTAACTCATTTCACAACTCCCAGATGCACGCATGGCAGGACGCAGGAGGGCCAGCAGCTTAGTCCTGTACACCTCGCTGTCAACTTCCTGCTTTCGAAATTCGCTACTCTGCTGAATGCAGTGTATCTTACTTGCCTCAGTAAAGGGGAAAAAAACAAAAACAAAAACAAAACAAAAAACCCGAGGAGCAGGGTTTTCTCCCACTCTTTCAACAGCCCAGGTCCCGCCAGCACAGGTGCATGCCGCAGCATCCACCAACCCCTAAGTTGTGGGTGGGACTGGTAAGGAAGGATAAGGATGACCTTATCCTTCAGTAAAACTGTCCCAGTCTGGGATGTTTTTGGTAGTCAAAGACTAACAAAGGAACAGCACTGTTATTTAAAGTTACAGACTACCAAGCAAGCCTTGGCGTTAGTTTGATAAAATAAAAACGAGTGATTCTTTAAACCTGGTTATTTTTGTGCCAGTGAAAAACATGCACCCAAATTATTTAGGGGGATAATCAGACGTTATTTGAAACTCGCTTATGTGATGTACCTTCAATGTAGAAACTGTCAGAACTGATCCACTTTGACAAACACTATTACTGTGAGGATGTTCAAAGATCTTTTTATACAAGTAAATTGCCCTAATCAAGCATTATAGCACATCAATGTACTGTGAAGATTTGTGAGCGTATCGCATTCAGATTTTTTTTAAAAAAAAATTTAATACAAGAAGATAGACTAAATTTCTCTTTGAAGCTTGTTACCACATGGTTTCATAGCTGCTAAATGACAAAGCAGTTAACGGGTCCAAAGCTGGGCTTTACACCAGGCTCCAAATGTCTCACGCTATCATCATCTGGCTCATCTATTAAGTAGAACAACAAAATCCTTCAAACCGGGACAGGTAGTGATTAACCAAAGGAAGAATGTTACATTAAGTATTTCATTTGGTTCTGAATCTCACATAGAAATGGAGGGCTGACCCTGTCCGAGGCTGTCATCAAATGAACACAAAAGTTATAGCCAGGTTGGGCAAGATCTGCTAGGAGCTGGCAGGTGTGAGGGGGGACTTAAGGGGAAGAGCTGGTACCAAATGGCAAGGAAGGCCAAGTGGCCACTAAAATCGACCCTAGGTGTAGGAGTTTGAATGGCATTTCTGCCTGACGTCTGGAAGGAGTCAAACTCAACGCCAGAGTTCACTAGATGCACCCCAGTGAAGGTCACCACCTGTCAGTAGATAAGTCCACAAAATCGACATCTAAAGGGCTAACAAACTTCTGTGACACTTCCAGGCTTCCAGATGGCCCTATGAAAACAGCCAATTGGCTTCCTCATTAACAGAGAATTCTGGAAAGCAGACATTAGAGGCTGGTCTTTGGCATGCACAGAAGCTGGAGTTTTTATTGCCCCTAATCACCACCTGGTGGGTTAGCTGCCAATCTCTTCATCAATTCCCTTTATCCAAATATTTTGAAGACCCATGTTTAGATAAGCAAGCCGCTCGGCTCTGTGCCAGGCTTGTTCGGATGGTTCTCTGGCTGCTGACCAATAGGCACCACAAGCTGGGACTGTCAGGAAGTTCAGGTGGGAATGACCAAAGAGGAATGTCCAATATTCTATCACTTCTACTAATCCATTACACCATTACACACACTAGACTCATAGCAAGCTAGTATGGATTTAAATCTTTTCCCCCTTTTTTGAGACAGGGTTTCTATGTAGCTCTGGCTGTCCTGAAACATGCTACGTATACCAGCTGGCCTCAGAGTCAGAGATACTCCTGCCTCTGCATCCCAAGTGCTGGGAGTAAAGGCACATACCACCACACTTGCTTTTCACTTTTGAGACAGACTCTTGCCAAGTTGAGCTCAAACTTGTGGTAATCCTCCTGTCTTAGCTTCTAAGTGATGGGATTATAGGCCTGTATCATCCTGCTCTGCACAAGTAAACTAGAAAGTGCATTTCAAATCTAAATCCAGGGTTGATTGGAGAGACGGCAATCATCAGTCAAGAGCACTGATTGTTCTTCCAGAGGACTTTGGTTTAATGCCCGGCTCCACTACCATCTGGAACTCCTTGGGCACCAGGCACACACAAGTTGTAGAGGCATACATGTAGGCAAAACACTTATACATATAAAATAAATAAAAATCTAAATCTCATGGGGAAAGTGGAGGTCAATTTAGAACAGGCTTGATGACCTCCAACTTAGTACTACTTTCTCCGCATCTCTGTGTTACCTCTTCAGCATCGCTGGCCCCGTGGAAAATCTCTAAGTGGTCGTTTAAAGTCTACGTCCTGTTCAGCTTGTCGTATCTTCATTCCTTTGCCCAAATGCATCAGATTTTGCAGCTGCTCAGACTCCTTCAGATCTATATTTAGTCTCCTTTACTGCCCTACCTAGGCCAATTTCCCACTCCCATCCTTACCTTCAGAACAGGCAATGAACCTTGGAATAACATTAGGTACTTGGCTCGTTCCTTCCTTTATACCACTGAGGTGATGCACTGAGTTCTCTGAAGAAGGTATTTAATTACTGTTAGAACTATGTCTGCTTTCCAATCAGACAAGATCAGAAGACAGCCAAATCTACACTAAGCAACCTAAATGGCTGACAGTGGTTCAAAGCTTATCTGTAAGGAGAAGTCAAGAGAGTCAGGGAAAGAACAGTGTTTAAAAAGAAATCTTATTCACAACACTATTCTTTCCACTTTCCTGTACATTGTTTTTTCAAAATACAAAAGAGGAAGGAATGGAAATTAACTCTGAAATATTAATCCCTGCATTTCAGGAGTCAGCAACCTTTGTTCTGGGGCCACTTCTGTGGTAGGATCACAACAGGGCATGCCCTAGGGTTCTGTACGTATTGCTCTGTAATGCCTGAGTTCTCACAGACCGTATGAGTCTTCAACATAAACTTAGGTCTTATCTGCTGAGTCCTGAGTTACTAATTGTGGGATGGATGCCATCGGTTACATCTTGACAGGTAGGCTGATGATGACAAGTTATCCCTCACACCTCAATTTACCTGTTTCACAAAGGAAAGAAAGCAAGCATCCAAGGGAAGTACATTTAATTTTTTATTACTTTTTTTTAAAAAAATGCAACTTTAGATAAATTAACAGACTAGATTAGAACCTCAATTGTATCTGATACATTATATGAGGGATTTCTATTACTAAAAAGCCAACTGGAATACGGCCTACACAAACCCAGAGTGTATACAAAATGGAAGTGATATGGGCAAACACCATGTCTTCCCCCTGCTGACTGTCCATGGAAGTTTGTAGGTTCAAGGTGAGCACAGATGAGAAGCCCAAATGAGATTGTTTTTACAGAACTCTGTTGTTCTTCAGAGAACCTTTTTCCTCCTGACATTTAGCTCCTACTTAGAGCACTAACAAACTTTCAAACAACCTAAGCTGATGTGGGATAATCAACAAACGGTACCTCGTCGAGTCCACCAGAACTTCACCAGCAGCCTTTTATGGCAACTGTGAAATCACTTTTTACCTTTACACACTTCACACACGGCTCCAGTAGGAACGTTCAATGAGGAAACCTTCAGGCATGCTCATCTGAACCAGAAAGCATGCAGGATGTCTGCAGGTGTGTGCCCCTCTTCTGTTCTACCCTTTCTGCACATCTAGTCTAGTCTTCAATAGTCTTTCAAACCACCCGCTGATCACTCTACCAGTTAATATACAGCTTAACTACAGAATTTACATGATAGAAAACATGAACATCCGTGCTTCTCAACTTCACCACTTCTATCACGTTCAAAAAGTGAAAGAGAAAGAAGCACTAAAAAATGTTCACATCTGAACTTAGAACCCAGATGGAATGCAGTGTGCAGGTTTCTACAAAAGGCTTTTGTCCCTAGAATTCATGTATAGAAGCCCTTCGGTATGTAGCGATTCCTAAACAAATTACACTAATATACTTTTTCCTTTTTATATTTGTAAAAATTCAGTAAGTTTAAAAATAACATCTGCAAGACATTTGGCATAAAGTGATTAGTAAACATTTAGGAAACAAATGCTATATCAAAATGAGCACAATTTGTGGATAAACCCTTAAATCAAGTGACTTCTGGAAGAACTGGAATTTGCAGCAACTACCTTTAGAAAGAGGGCCACCCATTGTTGGTGGAAACACGCAAGCATACCAGCCATGAGGTACAGATAGCAAATACAATGATTCTAAGGGCGTGGGTTTCTCCACAAACCACACTAGCACACGGTAGCATCTCTCTAGCCAGCTCCTTACTGTTTTTTCCTACTTTTGCACTTGGGAGACCAGTATAAGGATGTCAATTTCTAATGTAGTTAATTTTCAGGGAGCATGCTTAAAGATACAAAGTATATTCTTAGTTTTCGATAGTATTCAAACTATCAGCTGACAGACTGAGCAGGTATTAGTAAACTAAATACAGAATCAGTGGAATACAAAAGCCCCTTCTAATTAACATAAGTAATATTGTTTGAACTATTCTACTAACTGAGAACTAGTGAGAGCTAAGCCACCTATGACTTACATCTTTTTCAAGATATACATTTATGTCACTCCTGTGTGAAGTTATAAACCAATCAATACAAGTCATTTTATAAAGGATCTTTCAAGATAATTTATATCCATTTTAATGTTCTTAATACATTTAAAAATTATTTTTCATTGCAAACTTCAGAGAACTCCAGAGCTCAACCTAAACCTAGAACAAATAAGTGCATGTGAAACCACCATGTTCTCTGAAAACTCTACACTTTACCTGCACAATTATGAAAAATATTTTATTAAGACAAAAATTTGCTGTCTAATTCATATATACTCTATTAGACAGAAAAAGTGTTGCTTCATTTTTAGAAATAGGATGTCATGTAGCACAGGACAGTCCTGACACTATGTAGCTGAGGGTAACTTTGGACTTCTGATCCTCCTGCCTCTATCTGTTGAATGCTAGGATTGCAAACATGCTCCATCACGTCCAGTTTATCCAGTGTGGAGGATTGAACCTGGGCTGTGTAAGCTAGGCAAGCACTGAGCTACACCCCCAGCACATAGACTAAGTGTTCTTATATCAGAAATACTTTACATGTTTAAACATTACATGAAATAAACAGTGCTCTAGTTTAAGATCATAAGGGCAGGCGAGAGAGAGAAATAAGAATTAGTAGGTGACACTGAACCCAAAACGCTGGGTTAAAGATGACTGACCATAGCTCTATTCACATTGCTTACAACTTGCTTAAGGTTAAGAATCCAAACCCCACACACTAAAGATGTCACACACCTCAGTTTAAGACACGAGTCCATTGATTTATAAAAATAACTCTTGTAGCCCTGAATGCATGAGTTTCACATTAAGGTTTAACACAGATGATCTGAGTCTTTCTAAAACCACCAATATACAGTACAGTTTTGGGAATCTGCAGAGCAAATGACTAAATCAGAAACTCAATGGTTCTAGGAAAACTCCACAATATGGGCAGATCCTGAAATATATGTGCAAATTAAAATAATTTCTTTCAGATCACTGTAGCCTTCCTTCATTCATCATACACTAAATGAGCTGACATTGCAGTCCCTTCTACTTTACATGGCACAGCAATCCAATGCATGTTTAGACTTGTAGGTCACAATTTCATATAAAGGAAATACTTATGCTTTATTAATTATATGGAGACAAACATTCAGCCTTTGTTCTTTTTTTTTTTTTCCTTGAAACAGGGTCTCCCAGAGTTAAGACAGAACTCACAGAGTTCTCTAGCCCACTTCTCAAATTCTTTACAACCTTCTGTCTTAGCTTCCCTGGTGCTAGGATTATAGGCATAAACTATCTACCTGGCTCTGAGTTTGGGGATTTTTAATGAGTGTCCTTTGTATTTGAAAAGTATGCTTTATAAATATATATTTTTAAAGTGGCCTTTTGAGCAGGTATCTTCAAATTATAAACACATCTACTGTCACAAAACAATTTGGTCAGGAAATTTTATTTGAACATTCTAAAGCAATAATGCTTTAGATGTTACTTAAATGTCCCAGACAGGATTAACAAAATTAAATGTTTCTAAATTACAAATTTAGCTCCAGTAGGAGTTTCATAAAAGAAGAAAACAACCCCCTCCCAAAAGAAGTATGACACACACATTTTGAAGAAACCCCAATGTTTCATGCAATGGTAGGCAAGATGTAAAAGGCCACCCAAACCCATACGTTTCTACACCAATCATCATCCCAAAAAAGACCTCCAGTCAATCTGTACATCCAAATGCATCCAGGAACCTACACCTACATGACATTATTAATGTTATATACATTTATTGCCCCCCTTGTTTTTTTTTTAATAATTTCTTATGTAAAGCCTTCATTGAAACCCCCCAAAAAAAAAAAAAAAAATGTAAAACAAATTGAAGGGAGGGAGGGGAAGATAATCACTTTAGACATTCAGTTAAAATGTAAATTATCTAAATCTCCAAATGTTTAATAAAAACAAGCATCTTCTCCATTTAACACTTTGCTTGCTATCTATACAGTAAATTGTATTAGAGAGTACCTCTCTATTTTCATACTGTGTCTTCTTTGGATGGAATTGAGAAAGCTGGTTAATTTTAAGATAAATAAATGAGGTTGATCCAACTAAGATTAAGATGACAGCAGATATATTCCATGCAGAATTTAATAGTTTTTAATTTTGTTTTTTGTTTTTTTTTTTTTAAAAAAAAAAAGATGCAGTTGAATGGAGGGACAACTGAACAGGTCTTTTGAACCCAGGTTCAATACATAAAAATGTCCCACAACACATCAACAATGGCAGTAAAAATAAGAGAAAAAGTAATCTTTCTGGAACATCATTTTTCAATAACATAGAAACACCAAGTGCCAGGAAGATTTCTACTTATGGAATTTTAGCATCCAAGTTTCCCTCTAGTTATTTTATTGGAACAAATACTTTAAATAAACTATTTGTCCTCTTCACTGAAGAGAGCTGGTCTATTTCATCTTTAATGAGCTAGTTTGGGGAAGATTAGCCATGTACTGTAGTAATGCCTACTGCATAAAATCCAAGCATCTGCTGTGAACAGTTGGAGAAAGCAGTCAGTAAGAACCTAGGATCAATGGAAATAGATGTTACTTGAAGCCATCCACAAGAGACCCACAAAGTACCCAGTGTTAAGCCCACATCTCTTCTTGCGATTATTCTTCTTTGCTGTGCAAGTTCCACCCTCATGAAAGAGAAACTGATCCGGAGTCCCCGGCTGGCCCAGGCGTCTAGTCAATTTTCACATTAGTATAGATTTTTCGAACAAAGGCACTTGTTCCCATGTAACCAATTGCTCCTGCAAAAAAAAATTACATAAATAAATAACATATTTTGAAACAAATAAAATGGAACCAGGGTCTGCCATTTACAGATACTAAAATACTCTCTGTTCTAGAGAGTTCTATTGTTTTTTCAAGGTAACGTTTTTATGTTGGCATCCCACAGTATTGTCTCTCTGAATTTCTTTCTTAAATGGCATCATTTGCTTTAAAGGCATCTGTTATATATAGCCAAACCTATGCAACCATTTAGAATCAAATCACAATTACTATTAGTATGGTCAGGAACTGGATTAATACACCATACAAAAGAAAGAGTGACTTGATAATGACAAATGCAGCCCATTAATGCAATGCTACCTTTTTTTTTTTTTGAAACAGTCTCACTACGTAGCCCTAACTGTCCTTGAATTCTGAACCTTCTGCCTTATCCTTGTAGGTGCTTGTATTAGAAGTGTGAATGGCCATGCATGGCAATATCAATCTATACTTCCAAAAGCACACAGAACTGTAAGAGGGAAGCTTTGGGGATCGAGAGAAGCAAGACCCAGTAGTGCTAAAGCTCTAGAGAAAGTACGTTCTCATGTCTCCTTTTTATTTGTAAGTTATAAAAACTGTACAAAAGATTATGTACTTCAGGGAATAGACAAAAGAGATAGGGAAGTGGGTTAGGAGTTTTAAACTGTTGGTTTCAAACAATGAATCTTAAACAGGGTTCAAAATTTCAGAAAGTATTGTGTTAATGAAATACTTCTGTGTCTAAAAGCGTGTAGCACATGAAAGTTACTTAATCATTGTTTGTTGAATAAGTGAATAAATGGCAGATGAATGAATGAACAATCAAGTAATCTTTGTAGACACACTCTTGGGGAACTCTGTTTTGCCTTTTAAACTCAGGACTCTTTGGACAGGTGATCAATGACCACTCTTCACTGGATTTATTCCTTAAATTAATTTTCTACTAATTAATTAATAGTACACATACACACCATCTAAGCAGTCACTCTTCTAACAGTACTAGGATTGAATCCAAGGGTTTTTGCATTAGACAAGCTCTCTGAGCTACACCTACAACCATGAACTATTTGTATTCCCCAAACTGACAAATCTCAAGGTAACAAAGCAGATGAGGAAAGGCTTTTATAAAGGAATCGCTGCTAATAAACAGAAAAAAAGTACGAGTTACAATATTATAACCACCAATGAATTTCTTAAGGTAGGCAGTAACTATCAATGGCTTCCAACCTCACATACATCTCATGCCTCCAATAAAAATCTACAACCATCTATTGTAGCATTCTTGGATAAGCATTGAGTAAAATAGGTTGTTTTTTGTTTTAAGCTTGAACTACTATTTTAAAGAAAGTGTGCAATGGAGAGTTACATGGCAAAATACCTCAGGGATACAATCAGCCAAATTCACTGTGGAAAACTAAACAGGTATACTGCACCCACTGCCAGTAGCTTGTGCTGCCTCCTAGATGCTGTATTTTTAGCAACAGAAACTTCTAAACAGAAATCATTCAAGTAACACCTGACAACTGCTGGCATTACAATCCTTTCCAATGACCACATGCTTTAAATACCAATGGTAAACGGCACCATGTGCCACACACTTGTAATCCCAGCTCCTTGGGAGGCTGAGGCTGTGTCCTCAAGTTTAAAACTAGCCTAAGCAACACAGAAAATCACAGTATCAAAACATGGCAATTCCCAGTATAAATAAGAAACTACTCATAAGAATTCTGTGCTATGTAGCATCATTAGAATGAATACAAAAAATTGAAATTACTCAGCCAGCAGACCAGATTTTAAGGGAGTCAGAAAGTATGAAGTCAAACTGCTGAATTCATTTTGGTTCTCCTGATGAAGCAAAAGAACAGCATTCCTTAGTTTTTATTTAATTATTACTGGGTGAGTCATGTGTGCCATAGCACGTGGAGGTCAGGACAATGTTTTGGAGTCGGTGTTCTGGTTTCAGCTTTATACTGGGTTCCAGCGATCAAACTCAGGTTTGTCAGGCTTGAGCAGAAAATACTTACCACACATTATCCCCAAGGCTGTGCTAAATACCGCCATATATCCAAAGTAAAATGATGTTTGAAATAAGCCATACATCCTGAAATACAATAAAATAATATTCAACACAAAAGACTTTTCTTTCAATCTGAGGATTTTACACTGTTTTAAAGGACAAGTGTAGTTCCCTGGGTAAGACATAAGAGAAGAACTCAACTTACTTTGTTTTGAAAAAATAGTAGTAAAAGGAATACATGTAAACATAGATTGCAGTTGACGCCGCAGAGAGAAAACTCGTCCACTGCCTGGAATAAAAACCGAAATTAAAACTAATTCTGCTTTTGGAATCAATGACACTCAAAATTTTAAGGCAAAGAAGTTTACAAAAATATCATTAATAATTCTGCATACTTAAAAACAAATACTTTGTACCTGATGCTTAAAAATATTTACTATTTAATATTAAGTCTAGGAACTAGAAACTCCTGAGTCTGGTCAGATTCTGAGTGACTTTAAATACTCCAGTTCCCTTTTTAGACTTAAGTTTAAAACAGAAAGATGCTTCCTCTAAGCTCAATGTAGAACACTTTGCAGAAATATCTCAAACAGGACAAACGGTTCTGACTAACACTATTTTCCCATAACCTTTTCATCATATTTACAACTAGAGAAAACGTCCCTCTACTATCTTTTGTATGCTTCCATCTTAGCTGCCTCCCCATGGCTCGGACTGCAAGTGTGCACTGCCCTGCGCAGGCCCTCTACTCTCCAGCAACACAATTCTCTATAGTCCTCCCCTCGGCTTGACAAGTTTCAGAGGCAAACCTACTTTAAGATATTAGCATAGTGGCTGGGTGTGGTGACACATACCTTCAATCCCAGAACCTGGAAGGCAGAGGCAGGTGGATATCTTTGACTTTGAGGACAGCCTGGTCTATATAGCAAGTTCCAGGATAGCCAGAGTTACAATAAAGAGATCCTGTCTCAAAGGCCAAAAAAAAAGAAAAAAGAAAAAACTCCCGAGAGGTTCCACCAGCGCGCACTTACCACCTGTAGTCCTCTGCGTTCAGCAGGAAGTACGTGCAGACGATGGTCACGCAGACAGTCACAATGCACAGGATGACCAGCACCAGCATCATGAAGCCATAGACATAGTAGATCTTATACGCCCAGAAGGACGTGAAGATGAAGTACCTGACGAGAGACAATGAGGGCATCTTGACGCTCACCTGCCCTTGCCACGACTCGTCTAAGTTCTCACTTTCATGTCCCTTAAAAATCACTATCACCCTTCCTAGTAATTCCCAACAGTTTCTCCTAACTCTCATTTATTAAATATTAAATATATTTTTGTGATTTTTTTAAAGAGCAAACTCTTTAAAAAGGCATTTATCTCTGAACAAAATGATCAAATTAGCAGCTTAAAGAAGTTAAAATGTGGAAAAGAACAAATCAGAACTGCCCCATCTACATTTGAAATATAAAGTCAATTCCTTCATTCGTCCATTTTTTAAGACACAACGCTACTCAAGTAACATATTTCACATTTTATAAAACATTTTATTAAATAGAAAAACAAGTGATAAACTGAGAATATACAGGATTAGAAAAGAAAACCAACATACGAACCAGAAAGTCAAAGTCGGACAGAGACTGTCTTCAGAGGATAGTGAGATGAAGAGCAGTAATGTTTTTTATTAAGATAAAAAAAAAATCTCTTTAAAATCCATTGCTCAAACATCCTTAACTCAGAACAGGGTCCTTTAGCTCTTTTTAAAAAAATTCTCTCCTGTTTTATAATCCATTTATTTCAATCACACCTTCTTTCAAAAACTATTTACAGATCCCTTGCTACAGATTAAGGGGTGACGTGGAAAAGTTTGGAGAAAAGAAGGGAAGGGGGAAAAGTAATTTTATACAATCTCAAAAAAGAAAAAGCCATTTATTTTATTTACTTATTCTGAAAGCAAGTGAGCAGTAAAGATCAGCATTGTAAGGGAAATATCACCACAGTCTAGGGGATTACTCCCTGGTGGAAAGCACGGTAACAAGCCGACCCTGGCCTCTCTGATGTGCACTTCCAGGTGCCCACCAAAGCCTGTAGTATACTTACAGTTGATAGGCAACAAAGGACACCGATCTACTTATGTATTTATACTTACAAGTTGTGCTGGTTATGCTCTTTGTCAACTTGGCACAAGCTAGAATAATCTGGGGAGAAGACCCTCAATTGGGGGAATGCCTCCATCAGACTGGCTTTCAGGCAAGCCTTTGGGACATTTTCTTGCTGATGTGAGAAGCCGAGACCACTGTAGGCAGTGCTACCCCTGGGCAGGTGGTATTGGGTAGTACACCACAACACCAGGCTGAGCAAGCCAGTAAGCAGGATTCAGTTTCTGCCTCTAGGTTCCTACCCTGATTTTCACTGTGGATTGTGATTGGGGTGTGTATGCCAAATAAATTCATCTCCCCAAGCTGGTATTTTATTAGCAAAAGAAAGCAAACCTAAGGCATAAATTGGTACCAGGAATGAGCTTACTGCTGTAACAGACCTATGTAATTATGGGAGAATTCTCAAAGGAGTCTGGAACTTCGGGCTGAAAAGTGAGTAATGTTCAGGGCTTTAATGGGCTATTGTGGGAACTTGAAACACATTGAGAAAAGTGCAGATAACTGAGACCTGGCTTAGGAAGTTTCAGAGGAAATATTCTATTGGGCTTTTTCTGTGGATACTTTGAATTAAGAATCTGCTTTCTGGTCAACTGGTGCTTAAGAATCAGCTGTGATTAACAAGACATGTACCACTGAAGTGAAACCTTTGCTTTACTGAACAATTAATGCTAGTTAATTAAGAAAGGACAAGCATTACTAAAGTGAAGTCATCTGGGAATATGTTCTTGTTGTCGGTACAAATGGCTGTGGTCCAGAGAGGCCAAAGCTGCATCTTGCTGTATCTCTAGCTCACAGCTGAACTTGGGAACATGAGTCTTCAGGACAGTACTCATTCTGGAGGCATGAAAGCTCAGGACTGGAGAGGTCATGGAGAGAAGGCCTGGCAGCGAGAGGTCAGAGGAGCCTTAGCGTGAGCACTACTGTGCAGCACTCTGGAGCCTACACTGCTCTGTGGGTGGCAGAGCCAGAGGCATGCGACTACCCAAGCATTCTGGAGCCCAGAAGGTTGTGAGTGAACCACAGACGTGTAACACCAAGTGGTTTGTACTGCTAAGAGTCTGGTTTGGGTTTGAACTGATTGTGATTGTACCCTTGTTCTTCTCTCTTAAGAGTAAGAAAGTAACTTTTGATTTTAGAAGAGTATACAGTAAACATTTTGGACTTTTAAAGAATTTTTACATGTTTAAAGTGTTGAAAATTTTAAACACTATAGGACTTTTATAGTTAGTTAAGTTTTATATTGGGTGATTAATACGAGATCTTGGGGATAAACAAAAAAGGAAAATTATGGTTACATAGTGATGTATCTGTGTGTCAACCTGATAAAGGGTCAATTGTGCTGGTTAGATTTTTGCTTTTTAGTTTATTGGTTTTGTCAGCTTAACACCAGATAGAATAATCTGGGGAGACTGAGAAAATGCCTTTATTAGACTGGCTTGTAAGCAAGCCTCTGGGGCCTTTTCTAGTATAATAATTGATTTAAGAAGGCCGGGACTACTGCCTGGGTAGGTGGGGTTGGCCTGTATAGGAGAACAGGCTGAGCAAGCCACAGTGGGTAGGAAGTGGGGCAAGCCAGAAAGCAGGATTCTTCTGTGATCTGTTTCAGCTCCAGCTTCCAGGTTCCTTTATAAAGTACCGTGACTTACACTCTCTAACCCTGTGAGTTAAATAAAATTACTTCTTTACAAAAGTTGACAACCTCAGTATTCTATTACAGCAGTAAAAGACTTCAGAGAGACCACCTTATCTGATGATTCCACACCAATCTAACATACTCTAATTCTTAAATTCTTGTTCTAACGACATCTTTCAAAACACAAAAACATTGCCAAAACTTACATTTCAATAAAGATTGAACCAAAAGGTAAAATTCCTCCCAGGCAAACAATAACTGCAGGCTCCATAAACCTGAAAAAACATTAAAATTAACAGTACATTTCTATTACGATTTTCATATGTACAAATCTTATTAATAGGTGATATTTAATACTTTAAAAATCATGTCAATGGATAAAGATAAACCAATAAAAAGAAAAACCAAAATCCAAACAGGCGTAAAAATGTGAGTGAAACTTCAAATTAGTCATCAACTATATCCAAACTTGAGCCTGAGTGAATGAAGTATTTGAGGAAGACACACTGTTTCTACAGGCAGCACAAGAAAAACATTAAGTATTTATTCCCAGTTCCCCAGCATTAATGACTTCTGGGAACTCTATAAGCATTTACTTACAGAAATTCAAAGGGAGGGAGGGGGAAAAAAGAAAAGAAAAAGTCCCAAGGCCCCGATCTGAAACAAGCTCTCTCTCTCTCTCTTTTTTTTTTTTTGAGACAGGGTTTCTCTGTGTAGCCTTGGCTGTCCTTTAACTCACAAATCTGCCCGCCTCTGCCTCCCAAGTGCTAGGATTAAAGGCGTGTACCACCACCGCCCAGCCTGAAAGAAGTTCTCATAAAGGCCTTGCCAGTTCTTTATCTGCTGTCTTCTTGGCTCTAATTCTTTTCCAACAAGTTAAACGGTGAAGGTACTGTCAATTCTGATTTATGAGGACAAAGAAAGACTAAGAAATAAAATTCAAACTTCATCCCCTCTAGTTAACATTCCTGAGGGAAATCATCAACTCTCTACCTGGAATGCTTCAACTCCACGTTCTCTTTCCAGCAATCGTGGAAAGTTCTCAAAGCCTTCCCTTCGCATTCCAGGAAGACTCTACTCCTTCCCCCCATCAGGGTGATTCCTGAACATCCCTCCACCGCAGAGCTTACTCTACTGTACTGAACTCTCTACTGACTTACATCAGACGCCATTAACTAGACTGCTGGCCAGAAGATGCTACTTGTCTAGGTATTCCCAAGACCTAGAACAGCACCTGGACAAGCAAAGATACCAAACTGCTAACTCTGGGGTAAGCAAACTTAAAAAGTAAAACAACAACAAAAACAATCTCAAAATGAGAAGAGACAAAGAGGAAAAACAAACTTGAGTCACTTATTATCATCTTCCTTGTTTTTATAGAAAGCCAAGGTCCTGAGGTTTAAACTGACCTATCCTAGGTAGTCATCCAATAAAAAGGACTCAGATTTTGGTTCCCATGTGATTAAAAACCAACAAGAAAATGAAGCAACAGTCGAGGCTTCCTACACCTAAAAGAGGCCTATCTATGGGCAGTGAGGGCACACGTTGCTCAGCCTCTCCCTGGAGTCCTTCCCAAAGACCTCCTGTGCTTTCTGACTAGGCTTCTGCTTTTACCCTTTCTTCCCAGCAATAAGTTGAGCACAAGGATATTAATGGGACCTAGTAATCTAATACTGACTTAGGGGGAAAGTAGTTTAAAAAAAAAAAAAAGTAGATTCAAAACTCAATTCCAAGTTTCTTATAGGCACCAACATAACAAAGACAAGCACATAGTAGTAATTCCTAAAATTGGAATAGCTTTTTGACTATGGGTCATAAAACTAAATGTGTACACTGTAAAAATTCAGCAAGAGTAAAAGGTTTGTGAACATTCAATGACCAAAAATCAACTCAAAATCAAACAAATGTGAACCCAAGGTGTTTCTGGCAGTGCTCACCCATGCTGCACCATGGGACTTCATTGACCCTTGGTCCTGAATACTTGAATGTGCATACTTGATGCCATGCAACACTGACCAATGCTATCTGAAACAGAGCTCCGATTCAAGTCTACCGTGTAACAAACTGCAATGTTTACTATTCCTACAAAGTTTTCTGCTTATAGAAACATAAAGGTTTAATCATAGAAAACAAAGACTTTTAGTGTTTTCTCTATTATTTTTTAGCATATGAGTATCAAATTAGTATATCTTTGGATTGTTTTGTGTTCAAATATTTAATTACAACTGGTCTCTATCTTAATTTATCTCTCAATTGGTAGACTTATATGGGACTAAATAGGCTAATGTTTAGAATAAAATATCTGGAAAGAAAAAGAGATTATAAACTAGTAGTTGGCAGACTTTTCAGCAATTGAGAGGCTTTCAGATTTTGCTGGTGATATGGCCTCTGTTATAACTACTGCTCTGTCAACTCTGATGCTAGAGAATAAAAAAAGTCATAGGTAGTATGTGAAGACTGGGTATGGCTGTGTTCCAATAAAACTTTATTTACAAAAACTGGGAATGGAGCCGGGCGGTGGTGGCGCACACCTTTAATCCCAGCACTTGGGAGGCAGAGGCAGGCGGATTTCTGAGTTCGAGAGTTCAAGGCTATCCTGGTCTACAGAGTGAGCTCCAGGACAGCCAGGGCTACACAGAGAAACCCTGTCTCGAAAAACCAAAAAAAAAAAAAAAAAAAAAAAAAAAAAACTGGGAATGGCCACATGTGACCTGCAGGCGTCAAGAACTGTTGAAGCTTTACTTCCCACCCACCTCTACACACTAGCATATTTATCAAAATTTTGATATGTGAATCGCACCAATATTCAGAAAGTAAAATACGGGCATAGCCTATTATACTCTTTACAATGAGGATTGATGGGAAAAATGAACAAATTCTTAAACTTATACAGTCATCTGCATAAACACAAGCCGCTTCTAACATTGTATGCACACAACAGCCTTAAGAAGTCACACACTGTGACACAATCAAAAAAACTTTAGCATCTTTACCATTTTTTCTCCGGGATGGGACGAGGCACGGCATTGACACGACAAGGGAAGTTGGGCTGACCTGACAGATTGCGGCCCAGTATTGTACCAACGAGGTTTAGAGGAAGGATAACAAAGAAACAGATGCAACACACGGCCACCTGTAAATTAAATAAAAAAGTGTGTGGTTACTCAGAGAACAAAACCACTAATAAAAACAAGTAAGAGAGACACCTGAAAACTCAAACACCCTTTGATCACAGAAAAAAATGTTAACTTCTAGTAAGGGCTAAAACGACTCAAGGAACACACTACTGGAAACAGAAGAAAATGTTCCCGCAGAATCAAACACAAGCTGAACTCTTTCGTCCCCACCTTCAGCTCCCACTGTGCCTACGCTTCAGGGCTGCCCCTAACAGCACCTTTTAGATCTGTCCCTGTCGACTGTCATGTTTTTGAGATGTCTACTCCTCATCTTTCATTATTGTAACCAAGTTGCTTGATTGGACTTACTGAGTTCCTAATATGCACAAGGAGTTCCCCAAAAGCTAGTCCCCTAAGTATAAGGTGAAGAACATTGAGAGGTGAGGCTACCTTTCCATGAGCACACAGCTAGTACATGCCAGCCCAAAATTTAAATTCAGATTTGTCGGGCTGGGGGTACTTTTCTCTCCTATAATACCTTAGGACACTAACAGAAACATGTGCATGTGTGATTACTATAATAAAATATTCCAAATATTCCTTTGCCCATTTAAAGTCTAAAATTATAGAAAAGGCCATAATTATCAAAATGTTTATTTTGTGGTATGTTTAGAGGACACAGACATACTTTCTTCTGCAGAGTATCTGATTAAGACATCTCTACTATGGAACAGTAAAACAGAACTGATTATCTCTAAGATCTCCGGATTCTATAGTTGGAGTGTATAGGAATGCTGAGTAGAAACTGAAGAAACTGATGAAGTAGAAGACGGAACAACAGAGATGGCGTCACAACAATCTCTTGAAAACATCAGATTCAAGAACTTACTTGTCTCAGTTGTTAGGACACAAATTCATGCTTAATGTAACAAAGACATGTGAAATCTGAGAAATAAGCAAACATTTTAGGATTTTTAAATATTATACTATGAGTTAAGTGTGGCATATATACAAGGGTGGCAAACTCAGGCCGTTTGCTGTTGAGTCCCTTCTTACTGTTGTTAGTTACTGTCAGATCACATACCTTAGCACAGTGGTTCCCAACCTGTGGGTCATGACCATCAGAAAACAGGCTTTCTGATAATCTTGGAAACTGAGTCACCACTCAGTAGCAAAATTACAGTTATGGAAGTAGCAACAAAAACAATGTTATGGTTGGGACCACAACATGAGGAACTGTATAAAACGGTCGCAGTGTTAGGAAGGTTGAGAAGCACTGCTTACCATACCATCATAAAGAGCTCTGTATCTTCCTTTACCATATCAATAACTTCAAATAAGAATACAGAGAAACTGAAGGGAATGTTCCTATGTGGGATCCATGGCCAAGAAGAATGTTAATAAACCCATCAACAGAATCTTATTGATGAAGGTACAGGACCTCTGTAGGCATTTGATTTGGAACTCTTTTTTGGAAAGAGGGAGTGGGTCTTTCTCCCTCTCATTTTTCCCTCTCCCTCCCCCCTTTCTTCCCCCTCATCCTGCTCACTCCACTCTCTGAGGCAGTCTCATGTATCCCAGGATAGCTTTAAACTTGCTATGTAGCCAAAAATGACTTTGAACCTTGGGCTCTCCTGTCAAGTCCTCCCAGGTGCTGGAATTAATCACATGTAGATGGTACTGGGTGGGGACAGAACCAGAACTTTGTGCATAGGCCAACACTCTATAAGCCCAGCTACCTCCTCAGCCCATGAAAACAGTTGGCTTTTTTACATGTCCCTAAGCTAATAATATAGATCCAAACACATGCTACAGAAAATATTAACAAAATGGAGATCTTAGCCAGAATGACTCGTTTCCATGCAAATATCAGAATCAAGTTTCTCTCTCAATCTTCTTTGTGTCTATATTTGGACTTCTGGCAAGTGTCACAGAGTAAGGAGAGTTTGAAATCAACACTGGTCTGTGGGTCTACAGCTCTCTTCATTCAAGCACGCACACATTTGTTCACTAAAACATACACAAGCAAAGACACGAATACAATATCTGTGTGCTACATGCAGTTAACCACAGAGGCACAAAGCACCACAGCATTCCATGTCCATGACAAAGCTCAATAAGACATTCTATAAACACTCTGTCAAAGAATTACCAACTGCTTAGCACTCTTTAAAATGTTTTCCCATCAGATCTTTTTTTATGTACATGATTAAGAAGTTTGGGCAGCTGGTTAGAGATTGTAGCGATCAGACTAAAACCAATTCCTAACTCTTTTATGTTCAGATTCTAGATGAGTTCACTTAGAGAATACTGAGAATGCAAGGCAAACTGTTAAGAAAACATGACACGAGCTGGGCGGTGGTGGCGCACGCCTTTAATCCCAGCACTTGGGAGGCAGAGGCAGGTGAATTTCTGAGTTCAAGGCCAGCCTGGTCTACAGAGTGAGTTCCAGAACAGCCCGAACTACACAGAGAAACCCTGTCTTGAAAAAAAAAAAAAGAAAAAAGAAAAGAAAAGAAAACATGACACAGATTCGACACAAGGTCAAGTCCGAGTTTTTCTCAGTATCAGTATTAAACACTGATGCTATCTATGTATGAAGTTGATTCCTGAGGATATTACTACCTATCATTCATAACCCTTGACTTGAGATTTGCATTCATCAAACCTTATTTCTCTCCTTTTAAATTTAGAGTTACTTAAAGTAGGATCACAGTTACTATATCTTGTTCCTCTACTAGGCTTTCACCTAAGGTCTCATTTTAAAACGAAACTTAGCAGCTAAGAATTCAAGAACCATTTGTCTACTACACTGATGAAAACCAACACAAGGTCTTCATCCTGAGGAAAGCAGAAGGGTGGGACAGAATTACTTCCCAGAGGGAGATCTGTGTCCACACAAGAACAAGTTCAAAGTAAGCACTGCCTCTCAGTACTTAATACACATAAACATCTACTAGCTGACCAATCACACTCAAAAACCAAAGACCTATATAATACCTACATTTACTTAGAGACTGACTTTTGGAAAAATCTATGGTGTGTATGGGTAATGTAACCAGGACAAACTATTTGGGGAATGCTAAAAGAGAAACTGTTAAAAGTAATATATTCTAAGTAGACTTAACTGCATATAGCTATTTTGATTCTTAGGAATTCTCTCTCTCTCTGTCTCTGTCTCTCAGTCTCAGTCTCTCTCTCTGTCTCTGTGTGTGTTTGTGTGTGTGTGTGTGTGTGTGTGTGAAGGGGGTGTGGGGAGCTTCCTATCTTCCTGCCTGTCATCAGCTGCTAGAAGGTCAGTGGTCACCACCTAAGAGATGCACACTGCCAGCCATTACTGTGTGCCAATATTTCTCTGGCCCCTGCTCACAGCAGATGACTTCTATAACCACATTTCTAACTCATACTTTATGACTTTATTAAAAATCAGAAGTCTCAAACCACACATTCCAACTCATGGATCCCATAATCAGGGCACTACTAACGCAAAGATTTAAGAAACCTGTATACTGTCCACAGAGTTTCAACATGCTGGCTCGTAACTCTCCATTCTGTTTCTTGAGTTACTTCAGTTCTATAAAAAGATAGACTTGAAATGAAAAATGTGCTGCAGAAAGCTAATGTTACTAGAAAGACATTATAAGAAGACTGCAGACCACTGTTTCTCACAGAGACCACATCTAGGAGGAGCCTTCTTAAAGAAATACAGAAAAAAAAATGCAAAAAAGCTGCTGCAAAACCCAACATTCATTTCCAACAGAAACTCCCGATTAAGCAGGAACAGCAGGACTCTACTACCTGATGAAGGGCATCAAACACAAAGGTCTCCTTAAAGGCACAGAGCTGTATGCCTTCCCAGCTCAGCAACTATCTGCACTTGCCATGTCTACTCAATACTGCACCAGAGGTTTGCTCAGTATAATGAGAAAGTGACAGAGAGAAGAAAGGAGGAAGGGAAGGATGGAAAAAAGTAAAACCTTTATTCATAGGCAACTTAAAAAATATATAGGGGAAAAATACAAGAAAGCAACTACGACGTGTGGTGGTAGATGTCTCTAATCCTAGCACTTGGTTGGTAGAGTCAAGAGATTGGCAGGTCAAGGACAGCAGTGACTATGTATGAAGAGAGAACCTGTCTCTAAATAAACAATTAATTAATTTAATTTAATAATAGTAAAAAAAAAAAAAAGGGCCAGTGAAATGGCTCAATAGGTAAGGTATCTGCCACCAAGAGTTCTGGCCCAGGACCCACACAGCAGGAGAGAACCAATACCTGCAGTTGCATTCTAACCACAGTGCCTTGGTTACTGTAACTTTTATACATTTTGGAATGACTTTTCTTCCAAAGCTGATTTGGCTTCTTAATAATCTTTGCATCATACTGACTTTTTAACTGGGTCTGCACTGAATCTGTCTGTACCTTTACTTGGGGAAGAGCTGAATCTAAACACGATGGATTAGAAACACAGTGACTCTTTACTTTATTTTACTATAATTTTTCTCAGCACCATTTGACTCAGACGTGAGCGTTCAGGTTTTGTACATCTTTTGTTAAACTTACCCCTAAGTACTTCAGTTTTTAGTGCAGTGTGTACACAGTATTATTTTATAAGGCAATTCAGTTAAGGAGATAACAGAAACTCCCATGTCCATCTGTCTCCATCTATACCCATGGCTGTGCAGCTGTCAGCAGGAAATCCACAAGTGCTGCAGGCAAGGACAGCCTTTCCAACAGAGGGTGCTATACGCAAAGAAAAGTCTCCCAAATTTATCTCAGGATTTCAGAGCTACAGGATTTCTAAAAGACAACATACATAGAAAGCTTTCTGCTGTTTAGTTTGGCGAAAGACTCCAGAAATAGGACAGTTATAAGGTCAAACTAGAAAAGGGAAAAAAAAATCTATCAATATACTGCTCTTCAAATTTAGTGATTTTGCCCTTAAATAGAAACTCTTGAGAAAATTGAAAGGCAAGACATAAAACAGAAGAATATTAGTGAGAATATTACTGAGATTACTGCTGCAAAATACTTTTAAAACAAAGGACTTCTATCTCCAATGTATAAAACACTCTTCTCATCTAACAAGGCATACCCACTAAAATAATAAGGGCAGGTGGTTCAGTGGGTACAAGGTGCCTGCTGACAAATCTGACGAGCTGCATTTGATTCCTGGAGCCCACACGGTGAAGGAGAGAACAGACCTCTCCCCACAACTTGTCCTCTTCAGGACACCTGCATTTTAACGACATCATGCTCCCCTCTCCACCACACGCATGTTAGTGTGTGTGCATGCACAAAACTGTAAAAACTAAAGCCAGGTGTGGTGCTGCACACCTTGTATCCTAGCACTGGGAAGCAGGTGGATTTCTGTGAGTTCAAGGCCAGCCTGGTCTACATTTTGAGTTGTACCCACAGGGAAAGAAAATGGGGGAAAAGATAAAACAGAAGCACAAAAGGCTTTAACATCTATTAAAGAAGATGTATACACAAATAAACAACCCTCCCCTACAAAGCCTTCAATGTGACTGAAGCACACTAGAGAGACGAGCTCTAGGGTCACTATGTCCTAACTAGACGGGCTACATTTCAGACAACTATCTGTAACAAGTGCTGGAATTGGTGTGGAACAAGTGGGATCTTTCTTTTAAATTTTATGTGTATGGGAGTTTTGCCTACATGCATGGCTGGGCACTACTTGGAGAAACTCATTTTGACAGAAAGAGAGAAAAAAATATAAACAACAAACCCAGTGAACAGTACCCATCCACACCACTAACAGTAGGATTACTGCTTTATGCTTTTATAGCCTTGGAGTTTTACTCCATGCAACAAGTAACTATGCCCTCAACCGCTACTTAGTTCCTTTGAAAACTGAACAGGATAAAGATTATGAAAACAATGTGAACTACAAAATATGCTGCCACCATCAGAGCTAATCTCTTTAGATCAGTCCAGTGAGGTTTCCTTAGATGTCTTCAGCATTCTGTAGCAAACTGTTTCTCAGATTCTACTTAAAGCACAATACGTACTGCACTGTAACATCTCAATGCTCCACTCTGTGCTGCTCAGAGCCTCTTTACTATGACTGTGGCCACATTTCTTAATCTTGTCCAATAGGATGCCACTGTTTATTTTACGCCGTTGTGTTCCTCTAGGCTTCTAACACCAACTCCAACGAGGAAATGACGGTGTTCTAGCCGTTCTTCTTTAATGAAGGAACTAGCTCATAAAGCTCATTACTTCTCCATCCTTCAAAAATATTTAATACCAACTCTAAACTCTTGTGCCTCATCAATATAAATTCACTTCATCCTGTAAAGTGGAATCTACTTTCTTCCTTTTCTCCTAGAAAAGGAAATTTGGGTCCAGTTTCATGAACTTCTCTCCTGCCATATAATATGTTCTGTAAGAAAACATGCACATGAACCAAGACACTTCAGACAGCAGTGCTGGGCACCCCACACAGTCAAGTACATGGCCTGGCTTAAGCTTAACTTCCTTCTCAGCAGAGTGCTCCCTTTTCCTTTTCTTGTATGAAAGTTATCTGATGAAAATGAAGAAGAGAAAGAAAAAACTATTTTATCTGTTCCAGTCCTGAGTCTGTGTTCTGCGGCTTTCTTATAAGTCTCTTTATAAAATGCATTGTCTATCTGGTCGTCGCCCACAGTCAGCTAGCGTGTTTTCAAACACAGCTCTTCACTACGGGGCACATATTGCCACTTGGGTATTCTATATTCTGACTACTTCTAAGACGCAGCTTTATAGTCCTTATTATAAGGTACCATTAATTTGGTCTCCATCTCCCCACTGTGGTAATTTCTGATTACACATCATGAATTTCCTATATTAAGAATTTGAGTTCTCAAGTCCAGTTATTGTTCAAGTAACCATGGAAGGACATCTTCCTCCTACATGTTTGTGAAATCTGATTTCTGACTATATTCAAGATTCCCCTCCTCAGCTAACACAGACCTCAAAATGATAACACAAACCACCCATTACTCTTACCAACTATTTATTGCCTCAGGGACAAAACTGGGAAAACTCAGGGTTTATAGGTGCACGCTGAAGTCCCTAAGACAAGCTGTGTGTACTGTGATGGAAGACCTTTCCAGCTTGGAGTTGCCTAATCTCTTAGAGCCCAGATCAGTCCCAGACTCTGGACACTAAGCTACAATACTTGATCTATACTGTTAGATTTGGGGGGGAGGATACTTTAATCTGGTTGTTCCTATGCCCTGGTTATCTCTTTTGGAAAGTATATAACATGGTTTTGTTTATGGGTACCTACAGTTAAAGAGACTCAATTTTAAAAGAGACATTGGGCTTTTAAAGTGCTAAAATTTTTAAAGAGGGTACTTTTAAAGGTATGCTGAATTTTATATTTTAATAGTAGTAAATCTTGGGGAACAAGAAAGAAAAGGTTATCCATGTGTAAAAGAGGTAGAACGCCATTGTTAGCTTCAGTTGTTCACTTAACACACTTGAGAAGAATCCCACTTAAAGAACGGTAACCACCAGACTGGCCTGTAGGCATACCTGTGGGACACTGATGCTGCAGTGCCCAGCCCACTGTAGGCAGTAAGTCTTGGGCTGTATAAGAAAGATAGCTGAAAGTGAGCCCAGAAGCAAGCCAGTAAGCAGCAACATTCCTCCATGGTTGCTGTCTCAGACTACCTGAGACCCTGCTTGCCCTGGCTTTCCTAATGATGGCTTATAATCTTTAAGTCAAATAAACTCTTTTCTTGGCTTTGGTCAGTATTTTATCACAGAAACAAAAAAGCAACTCAGAACACTGACCACTTTAATAAAACATTCATGGTTCTTGCTGGTTTTTTTTTTTCCTCTAAAGTATACTCATTCATTAGTTCTCTCCCATTTCTGATAAAAGCTATCAAATCAACTTTTCTTTTTCTTTTCTTTTCCTTCCTTCTTTCTTTTTCTTTGTTTTGTGACAGGGTTTCTCTGTGTAGCCCACACAATTCACTTTGTAGACCAGACTGGTCTCAAACACAGAGACCCACTGCCTCTGTTTCCCAAGTGCTGAGATCAAAGGTGTGCACCATCACTGGGCTTAAAAACTTTTTACTTCACAGAATCAAGAAAATATAGGGAACCTTAGGTTTAAATGTAACCAATAGTTTTTGAAACCTAGCAAAAATGGAGACTCAACAGGAACTGGTTGAAACTTCAGAACAATCCAATAGGAGGAGACTCTGGAGGGGCAGCAGACCTTGTATTAGAATGGTTGCAAGCATTGTTTAAAATTAAAATTCAAGTAACGTACCATTGTTCCAAAAGGAATGGCTCTAGAGGCATGGTAATAAATGGCTATAAAGTTGATGAAGAATGCAGTGCCACACACCATAGCTGGGATAAGGAATGCCCCAATAAACATCTGCTTTATCCATCTCCTTCCTGAAAGAAAAGATAAGCTATAAAAGTCAAGCTACACAGACAAACACACATTAATGTTTAGAGCATATTACATAGTTCTAAATTATAAACTCAAAAATTCAATACAAAGGTTGTTAAACTTGATATACAAATAATTATCTCAAATCAATTATCTAATAAAGGCCAGTCTAGTCCTTCGGTTTAGACAGCGGCTGCACTGCAATGAAGAGCCTGTCATACATACTCTGATGGCACTGCTTTGATTCTGCCACTGAACGGTCCTGGCCTTTTGTATGTCATTTGTTATGGCTTAGATATAAAGCTATTTTTTTCTAATTCAAATTCTGTCACAGATTTTTCATTTTTGGTGGTGGAGTTACCACCCAAATCTTAACATTCCTCCAAAAAACCTCAACCCTGAACTTTCTCTTCTAGGTCATTTTTACAGAAGTTCTTTTTTACAGAAGTCTCACGAATCCTTCCTTTCCAATGGCCAGCAATTAAAATAATTAATTATAGGGGTGACATCTAAAATGAAACATTTATTCAACTTTTTAAATTCCAATCCATTCTAATACCTAACAATCCTTCCTGTGCATTGCTTTATCCTGTCAGGTGTAGACACATACAAATGAAATCTACCTGTATCAATATCTACCTGTAGGTTCCTTCTCCCCACATGTCTCACTCATTACAATCAGTTGCTCAGACATCTGTGCTGGGCTTCCTACTGCTCCTCACACCTGGGAGGCTCCAGGCTCTCCCCAGGTTCAGACTGGATCTAGAACACTATTCTGCACGCTGGAGTCACTGAAAAGATCTGAAGCCACACTATAATGTAGACCTGAAATAGTCTCAACTCTCTGAGCTGACTTCTTTATTCACCTGAATTATTAGGGATTGTTCAGACAAAACTATCAGAACATAGTCTCAATCAGAACATGATCTTAAAATTATACTTTGCAAGATCTGACATTCCTAGAGCTGAGCTTGTCAACATTTAAGAACAGGTATAGTACAAAGTAAGACAAACTGTTCTTAGCTTACAATCAGACAAAAAGCAGACTCATATACACACATAAATACATTTCCTATTTTAAACAAAGTTGTTTCTGCTGTGGAGACTTCAGAGTCATAAGCAAAACAGTTCAGCCTAGCTAGTTTCCAGTAGGACAAGTTACATTACATTAAGCGCTCTTACTTCTTTAGGATGTTACCTTATATTGCAGCACTTATTTCCTGTGTCTGACGAAAAGAGTTAAGAGTTTGAACATCTAAATAGAACAGTCAGGAACAGATAATGATATGTCTATAGGCCATCGAAAGAACCGCCTAAACCAAAGGCACTTGAACACATTATATCTAGTAAAGTCTACAAAATAGGCAATGATAAACATGGCCATCCAGGAGGATTTTAAAAGACCCTACGCTCTGATTTCCTACTACCTATAAAAATTTCCTGGTTTCTATAGCCTAGGCTAGTCTTGAATTTGTGGCAATCCTGCTGATTCAGCCTCAAAAGTACTGGGATTAGAGATATGTACCACTGTGCCCAGACCTACCCTGCTTTTAGTAGACTGCTAAATATATACAGACAGACAGACAGACAGACAGACAGACAGACAGACAGACAGACAATATAATGCAAGGCAGGGTCTCCTAATGCTGACCATGCTTAAGCTGTGAAAAATCAAAGTAGATAAGGTCTTTCAAAAACCTTTCATTCATAAGTGAAAATAGGCATATTTATCAATGCAAGTACCTTTCTGACCCTAGAGTGAAGGAACTTTCACCTGACAAACTGACATAAAATAACAAATCTTCATGAGGAGTCCTTTGATGAGTCCTGTTTTCTAACCTCCGACCACTGTCTACAAGCTTTACTCATAGCCTTTAAACATCCTTTTATATTCACTGATGCAAAGTAACTAAGGATGAATGTAAGACAGGCTCACCTGGAGCACATCTAGGGAGCTAGGTACCCCAAAGAAACAGAGCATCAGTAACTTATTGTATATGTTCTTTGAGGCTAACTTCACAATGGAGAAAATCTATTAATTATTCATAATTTCAGGAAATAAAACATAAAGTTTCCATAAAAATAATCTAGAAAACATAACAGATTTGATAGAGGTTATACACATGGTATGACAAGAGCCTTTACTATGTGTACAGCCTATGCTGCCTATTTAAAATCTCAAAGACTTCACAGTAGAAGAATATCATCAATAATTAAAGGTGCAAGAGTGATAAATCCTCAGTTACCTCCTTGTCTAGCATACAGACTCCCTCCAAAGTACCCGTTCACTGGAGATGTAGCCGCATAGACAAATATGGCTGTGCTGAGCATTGAGCCCCTCCTGCAAAGGCATAAAATTATGTATTGAAACCAAGAAAAAAATTGGACTTTGTTTTCTCAGAATTATTTTGATATCATAGATCTACTTAACACAAACAGAAAAACATCTCATCCTGGATTGCAGAAAACCATAAAAGAATTCCCAGTCAAAGGTGAACTAAAAACAGATCAAGTTGGGTTTACTTTTGTCTAGTCTACAGTTGAATTTGTAATATAGTCTAAACAAACACTTTTCGTTTCTTTGGCACCAGTGGCAAGTTAGAACTAAAATTCTACTTATAACTCTGCAAAGCAGTTCCATCATATGAAATAGGATATTCTGTTAAAAAAAAAATTAAAATATTCCTTTTGTATAACTGGTTCAACACTAAGATTTTTTGTCTGCTTACTAGAAATAAAATTCAAGTAGGTTAGTTTGTATTAAATGCTACTATTTTAAATAGCACAACACGCTAGGACTTACTTTTTTCTGTAAAAATTATTTTTAAAAGTATCTACTTGTCCACAAGACAACCTTACGTCAGCCTGACGTCTCTAACCCCCTCCCAGTAGTGACATCTAGAGAATTAAACCAACCTTCATGCTGAGTAAAGCAATAAAAAAAAATTAAAAATGCCCAGTTGAAAAGAAAAATATTAAAGCAAATGACAGTATAATTTGTTGTAAAAATAGAAATATTTACTATTTATTAACCCCCTACATGTTTCTGTCTACTAGTTTTGCAATATGTAGCATTTGTTCAAACACCTGTGCTCACTTTCCTAAGTGGCCACAAAGGTAAGTGACGAATAAATGGAGAGCACGCCTCACCAGTGAAGATAAAATACTGCAGGATTTCATGTCTATCCATCTTCAACTAAATCCAAGTGAAAAAATTTGTCATCCTCAAATTAAAAGAATCACAGATCTCAAAATTAATCAGTTTAAAAAATCAAATCTATTTTTCCAAGAACTCAAACATCGTTAAGTGCTAACTTACTCCTTCCACACACGACTAACAAGTATGACCTACTCTCTTTATAAGCGTGCTTGTTAATGGCAGATATAAATGTAAGTACTAAGAAAATACAAAGGGCAATTTTAGTGTGAGACGAGCCTAAGGCCAGGCAGAAGTTCTTACTATCAACAGAAAGCTCACAAAGGCTGGCCTGGAGTCGAATGACTTCCGGGTTAAGTTTGCCGTCCCCACGCAGGATGGTCTGAACATTCAAATATATGTTCTGTTTCTTTGTTCAAAAATACTCTACAAGCATTTATCCCCACCCTCCAAACAAGCCATTTCATTTACACTGAAAAGTCCATCCCCGAAGCTATTCTCAGAGTGGAACAGAGGCTAAAGAGGTCTCAGCACTCTGACTGTGAGTACGGGTGGCGGGATTCAGGATCTGCAGGCTCTCCCAAGAGCTAGCACCACCATTAACTGGCACCACAGTGGCATTGTCCTACCTAGACCTTCCTAATGCTTTTCCTCTGACTGTCACTGTGATCACAGAGGCAAAGTAATTTGCACCTGTTAAGGTTAAGTTACTCTTTATCCCTAAGAACCATTACGTCACTGGAGTGATCGTCCCAACTTCACAGTCAAATGTTTCAGCTTCTCACTAGTTCATATTGCGTCATCACTATTTTCATTTCCATAACACTGCAAATTAAAAACTCTGAAACACAATTACCTACACTCAAAACCAATCCATCACCCTTCAGCAGCAAAGTGTAATTTAGTCAAATTACTTCACCTCTCTGAGCTTTCCCTTTTCTGTCTATAGGATAGAAATACAACAGTCCTCATACAGGATCGACGTGCACATTAACGGTCCAAATGTGCACAGAGGAAAACCATGGGACCCTGATGTCATCAGTCACTTCTCCATCATACCAACACTGACAGCTTCACCACTTCAAAGTAACTGTACACACATTACATAAACACAACACCTACTTATTGCAGTAACTGTCAGAACACCACACAACCTGGCCCTAACACTACCCATAGAAGAGTAGCTTCTTCTTACACCTAAAACTGAAGGGCTTGGGCTAGAGAGATGGCTCAAAGATTAAGAGTCCTGGCTACTCCCAGCAACCACATGGTGGCTCACAACCATCTACAATGAAATCTGGTGCCCTCTTCTGGCCTACAGGCACACGTGCAGGCAGAAAGCTGTATACATGAATAAATTTTAAAACAACAAAACTGAAGGGCTTTAAATTACAATAAAGTATGCAATAATAAGAGTTGCCGAATTCCAACATCATTTTGAAAAGCAACTCAAAACAAAAACTAGGATGCTAAAAAAGGTTACCCTTTAATCACAACACTGAATAAATAGGGTTGGCTTTAACGCAAGAATGATGAATTAGAATCAGCACTTAATGTAAAGTAAGGCTGCTTTGCAGATTTGAAATGCTTTCCTCCTGTTCAGGATTCACTTTACTTTAGAATATATTATACCCTAAAATGTGAACACTTTCATCGCAGCTCTGCAGTTCTCATGTAGTTTAATTATTGTAAAATCTGGTTAGTGAATGGTAACACAACGGTTACATTACAGGAACATCCCGGACGGTTCTGAGAAACAGCTGTTTTGGTTAACACATACTCCCATCAGTCATTAAACACTATTTACTTTATATGGGTAGTCTAAGCATTCAGGAAGGTAAGGTCTAGTCCTTTTCTCAAGGAACTATCCAGCAGAGGAACAGTAATTTAGTATATGGTAATTTTTTTAAAGTATTTATTATTTTTATGTGTGTATGATCTGTGCCTGTGTGGACATGCATACTGCAGCACACATATGAAGGCAGAGGGCAGGACTTTCTGAAGTCAGTCCTCTCCATCCCCAGTGGACCAAACTCGGGTCCTCAGGGTTGGGGGGAAACTGATTGTTTTTTTAACTTGCTAAGCCATCTTGCTTGTCGCATGGTTAAATATTTTACAAGTAAAAAGCAATTCTTTCAGCAGTACAATTTATTATTAGTTCATGAAATGCTCTCCATATATAAGAATGTACTATGAGTTGAAATGCAACTGGAGTTGTTCTGACAGAGGACAGCACAGTTGCTATCTGACGTCTGAAGCAGAGTGAGTCCACCCAATGTCACAGCACATTTCTGCGTAACACGCTTCGGGTCTCTACAAACAAGGTGACAATGAGACACGACAGAGCCCCGCGCTTTGTGACTGACTCAAATCAACAGCTTTTGGCAAACTGGGCTAGCAAAATAGTTCATCAGGTAAAGGTACTGCTGCCAAGCCTGACAGTCTGGGTTTAACGCTGGGGACACATGGAGGAAGCAGAGAACACCTCCTGACAGCCGTCCTCGGACTGCAGCACACGTGCCGTGGCACACCTGTACCCAGACACACACATCTGAGCACACAGGCACACATAGATAAATAAACAATATAATTCAACAAAGTTTGGCAAATAGGTTTGGTTGCTAATAAAAAGCATAGCCAAAACTACACAAAGGTAGATAACTGACCTAGGACTTGAAAAACCAATACCATAAAACACTTTGTTTTACTCCTGTAGCAGTCACAGTGTGAGCATAAATGTGACATATTAATTTGGTAACTGAAATTATAAAGATCTAGTTGAATCTAAAAAAGTGCAGGTTTCTTTTTTCAAACAGCTTTAGACTGGAAGTAGCCTCTGCCTCTCTAAATGACATAACCACTGTAACTGGAATGTCCAGCCATGCTGGCAAGTCTAAGCATGTACAGGGTACACAACTGAAAACATTTAAAATTAAAGATCAAGATCTTTCTGTAATAATGGCACAGGTAGTATTAAAATAATAAAATCACTGAAATAAGCAAATATTTGATAATAACAATAGATTACAATGACTAAAGAAACTATTTATACCAATAAAAAGATGATAAAGTACCAGCACTTACTCTGTATATAAATCCTCTATCATGGCTACAATAATAACAATGAGAGACACAGCAAATATCTGACATCCAGAGCCAATGAGGGAGGAGAATATCAGGGGGTGACTTGACGGTCTGAACACATCCCCATGGACTTGCTTCCAGCCATACTCATCTCCTAGGTCTCTGTCCTGTGGAAGATACATGCAAGTATGTACAGACAAAATCAGCCCATTCAGAATCAAAGTGAAATCATACACAGGCCAAAAAAAAAAAAAAATGCAGCTGTAAACTCCTTCTTTCCACACTTTTTTAATAATTCAAAATACTGAGGACAGACATTTCAAAGTTAAAATAATTCCTGTCCTAATAACACAGACTGTTATGTGTTCTCTGTTGAGATTGATGAAAGTAAAAAGTGGGTAGAGAAAAGGCTGAAGAAGAAAAAAACCTCTTGGAAGAGTAAAGGTCTCTCTTAAGGTAACATTACTTCACTCTCAGGCCCTACCCTGCCACGCACACAGCAAGTAAGGCTCACCACCATCAATGGCCAAAGACACAGAAGAGAAATATATTTAGACCAGTACTTGCCCTAAAAAACAGAGAAATGCCCTTTATAGCCCAAGGTAAGTATTTGGATATGGATATTTAGTCATCTAAAGCTTTAAAAAAAAAAAAAACAAACAAACTTAAATTTGAATCACAAAGTGTTTTATGGTATTGGTTTTTCAAGTCCTAGGTCAGTTACCTACCTTTGTGTAGTTTTTGGCTATGCTTTTTATTAGCAACCAAACCTATTTTAAAAACTTAAAACTTAAGTTCAGCTTGAATAACCCAATTATCCTTAATTTTAAGAAGGAAATATTTTTTACTATTACTATATTTAGCATGTTAAAATTTGACATTTTAAATCGCTTCTCAAGTCTATTTAATGATGAAGTACATCTAGATATTAGTATTCTATGGGACGCTTTTATGCTGTAATTTAATAAAAAATTAAGAATAAATCTTTTGAACCAGTAAACTAAATGTATACTAATTCTTCTACCAACCCTTAAATTTAACTCAACACTTAACAATATTTTAAAAATATATCAAAATTAGCCTATGTTTCCTTTTTTCTTTTTAGACTGATTCTGAAATCAAAAACTCTGCAAATTAAATTTTGTTTCCTAAGTATGATGTGTCCTTATTTGGTGACAAAACTTGGCTGGAGATCACAAGTTTCTTTATCTTGCTTAAGAGAACATTTAAGTTATGTTAGAAAAAAATATGTATTTAAGCAGAACATGATCCTAGATCCACAGCTAACATTACAATCATGTTTAAACTTTGTGATGCTGGGGATTAAATCCCACACTAAGGAGCGCTCTCCCACTGAGCTACATCCCTAGAAAAGTAAGGCTTGTCTCAAGCTCCAGGCATGCACACGCACACATGTACACACATATACACACAAAAGTAATAAAATGTAGTATATGGGATAACTAGTGTTTATTAACTATAGTGTTTATAGTGTTATATATAGTGTTTACTCACCATGTCATCCATCTCTTCTTCTTTACTGTACCGGGCATAATCTTTTCTTAGAGTTCTCATTAAAATCATTGAAACTAATCCCACTAAGAAGATCACCATCATGAAGGAATTAAAAATTGAAAACCAGTGAATCTAAATTAACAGAAAATAAAGAGTTAACAATATGAAATGCCAATTATAAAATTCATGTTTCATGATATCAACTGCAGGTTAACAAGAGAAAACTACCGTTTTTCATCTTTTACATAAAAAATCTAAACTTCAGACACACTGGGGATAGACAGTCAAAATGAAGGGCTGGCCTTCTTTACAACCAACTTTCATGACAGCATGCTATCATCTACACAAATTTTTCAAGTCAGATATACTAACCAACTATTTATTATTTAGCCATAAGGCATGCACAATTCAACTTTTCCTGGTAAACACATGGGCAGTGGAATCAAAAGCGCTTAGGTTCTAATGTAAGTTCTGCAAATGTCTATGTGGCTTCGGTATGCTCTGTGAGGTGGAGTGATGGTGGATGCCAGGACATGGCACTGTCTAACCACAACAGGGAAACCTCTGACAACACTGCTACAGCCCCAGCATCTCGGCAGGCCGCTCTAGATGCAGGCTTCCTTCCTAAAGATGTTCCTCTTCTTCAGGTAGTCATGCCCTATCCCCCTCATTCCCAGGTTCTTTCCCAAAGAGTCACCCCTAGCGGCCACCAGAACAATGGTATTCAGAACAGTATTCCTAACTCCTCAGTGTTCCTGCCTTTGACTTCACCTGTCTAGACCCTGGCCTATAGTTACAAAGTACTACTTCATCTCCAAGGACATCTTAGAACTCAGTATATCTGACTTTAAGTCTGTGGCTTTGCACACTTACCCTGTCATTTCTATTTTAACCTCTCAAAGGTCCTTGAGGGTATTTCTCAAGTTTCTCTCCTCTTCAAGTTCCCAAGGCCCTGCTTTCCCCAGTCTTCTACCATCCAGTACAACGTAATTTCTGACATGTATCTTCCTAGGATACATACACTGCACTTTTTTTTTTTTAACCTCAAGACAATCTTCCCACTGGGCAACAGATCCCATTCCGACTGAGTGTTTCCTCTTTTGTTCTGTACCCTACCCCAATCCACACACCACCACCACCCAGCACACACATACCACCACCCAGCACACGCACACCACCACCACCACCCACACACACCACCGTCTTTCTCCAGCATCAGCAATTTTCCTGTACGATGAGAACTGGTTGAACTTGCTAATGTGCTGAGGATGTGCACTAAGGCAAACGGAGTCCTGGCTCTGGGACCTGCCTGAACTCTGGGGACAGGACAAATTCTATGGCCATGGCTCTTCCTGAAGAGCAGATCACCAACTGCCTCTGCCCCACACAAGAAACTAACCTTCCTTCCTTCTTCCCTTTCTCACTAACTTACTTACTTACTGAGCACCTGCTGAAATTATAAACAAAACAATGAATGCACATTTTGAGAACTTTGAAAAAAGGGGAAATATTAAGTTTATCATAAAAGTACCACTGAAATTTTGTACAGACGGCAGTCTGCAATAACAGATCTTCCCAATGGGTTCATTTGCTTCTATTTACACTTGTACTTCCTAGGATCAACACAAGATCTGAAAAGTCAAGAAAACAGAGAGTAGAGTGTGCGGCACATCTCTATGCTGTGACTACTCACATCGCTAGCTATGTGTGACTACTCACTATGTGTGACTACTCACATCGCCAGCTATGTGTGACTACTCACTATGTGTGACTACTCACTATGTGTGACTA